TGTGTGTGTGTGTGTGTGTGTGTGTGTGTGTGTGTGTGTGTGGTTCAGCCTCTTGACGAACTGATGAAACTCCAGTGAAACAGTCTGCCCCTCATTTGTTCTTTCTTTCTCCCTGCCTGCCTATGTTTCACGGGGCTGTTCTCTAGACGATACGTGCAGATGCTTGTGCTCTCTCTCTTCTCTCATGCTGTCATTCACATGTGTTAACAAAAATACAGGCGCAGGCACACGGCTTGTATGCACATGCATCCACACACATATAAACACACACAATGTCCACTCCTGCGCTTAGGGATAAAGAACATCCCTTGCAACATCTAGTTATTATAACTACCTTAAAATGTTTCTTGATGTAGAAGTCACATTCATTGTGGATCCAGAACTTGCATTGATCACACTGCACCTGCAACATACGAAATGGAAACAGAAATAAGCATGAGCAGAGCAAGATGCCACAGATCCTCATAGATAGTTGCGGATCAAGAACATGTATACACCTGCATCTCGACTCTCTTGTATGGAAGAGCTTGTGTCATTTGTATTCACGTTCATATCAGCACTCCACACACAACCAATGCATGCAACAGCTAGAAAGATGAATATCAATTGCCAATGAATACTTACATAGTTTCCTTTCGTGTTAGGGAGCCAAATCTTCTTGCACACTCCACAATGTTGCTTTGCTTGAATAAACTGCAGAGACCAGGGTACAATCAAACCCGTTGGTGAAAATGCTTCCGTAGATGGCCAGTCCGAAACACATTTGCTAAGCAGGTTTGCCACGGTAGAACAAGACATAGTAAGCACTGATTCGTTCCACCTATAAACTCATCTGCAACACGTGACCCAATGCAGGGATAAAGGCAGACGACGATAACCAGGACGAAGACTGGGGGCGAAAGAGCAAGAGGAGGAAAAGGAGGAGGAGAAGGAGATTCTGGTACTCGGAAATCAGAGTGTGTGTGGTGTTCCGTGGAAATCAGAGTGTGTGTGGTGTTGCGTCTCTGACAATGTAGATTTTACCTTCAAACAAGACCTGCAGAACCGTCCATCTTCTGGGTTTTGCTTCTTACTTTTCCCTGTCAATGTTGGGAGCAAGGCCACCCCACAGCTCTCACATGCAGTTCCATTCTTCTCCCCCTGCTCCTCTTGTTCCTGCTAAACAAAAGCCATAAAGGGAGCCATTACATGACGTCCAGAAGCCACTTCAGCATCCTCAAACCATTTGCTCTGCCCAATATCAGACGCATTGAGTCCAAAAACGTTCTATTCAGGGAATTAATCAGGAAACATCAGTGTCCTGGCACGACAAAAATGATTCTTCTGCATCGGCGCAATGGATCAAGAGAGAGAGACACCACAGGCAATTGCGTAAACAACCCACCCTTCCTCAATGTGGCTCTTCTGCATCCCTGTATACCTCCATGTGACATTCTCTGTTATTCAAGTCTTGTATCCCAAACAGCTCACAATCAAATACAATCCGAAACTTGCATACACAAACGACAAGAGCCCTCCCTTGCCACACGCAGCACCTCAACAACATCTGTGCATCATGACATAGACACAGAAGCCCTCACAGGCTGTGACAAACACAATCAGTGAAACACACATATAATTATGTCCACATCATGACATAGACACAGAAGCCCTCCTTGGATCACGTTCTCTGTTACGATGATGAAAAGGAAAGATAAATATGTCCACATATAATTACACAACGCCGACTGTCACCCCCGGACTGGTCGACTGCCAACAAGCCGCCCGTTCCACCAG